TGCTGTCCTAACATGAGAATCTAATATTATGTGTGCATCACTTAAAAATATATATATATCAGGACTTCCTAGGTGGTCCAGTGATTGAGACTCTGTGCTTCCCCCCCCCCCACCCCGCTCCCACCCATCCCTGGTGGGAGAAGTTCTACATGCCATGTGGTGCAGTCAAGAAAAAGAAAATCAGTAGACCATTTAATAGTTTTCCTTCAGTACAGTGCTTTGTATGTCGGCAACTCAGGAGTTTAATAAGGAGGGCACCGCGGGATGTTGAACTAAGTCAGTGATGTGGGGCTTCAGCTCTTCGGAGGGCTGGGAGAAGCTCTCTCTGGCTGTGCATAATTGAAGCTTCAGGTTGCCAAGATGTGGATGACTAAGAGGTAGCTGTTTTGGATCAAGGGTAAAGTTTTAATTGGATGATGAGCATTCTCAAAGGGGATATAGCAATTTTCTGAATTGCATAATCGAGTGATTTGAAATTTAGAAAGGAGTGATGTCATCTCCCCCTCTTTTAAAAGAACATACATCTCCCTCTGTAATTATTTTGTGTTTAATAACAGCAGTAGGTCAGTGCCATGGGATGCGGGGGTCAGGAAAGACCAGGCCTCAGTGGTGTGTGAGGCAGTGTGCTCAGGGATTTTCAGTCCTGTGTGGTTGTGTTTTCTTGATGAAATTCCTGGCAAAATTTTCTTTCTGTGTTGTCAGAGTCTACTGCTTCTCCTTGTTCTCGGCTCATTTCCTGTTCCAAGAGGCTTACCTGTGTTAAAAACAACTGAGTCTGAATATAGTCCTTCCCAAATTATAACTTGTGAATTGCTGTCTTCTTTATTGGTGTTTAACAAACTATATGAAGAAAGAAATAGTAGACTCTTGGAGAATGTTGTATATGTGCTATAGGTCATTACACTTGGAGTTTACAGAGAGTAGGAATTATTATGTCTGTTAATTTATGGAAAGGTAGAGAATTTGAGATCTACTCGGTAAAAGGTTAAACTGGGATTGGTTTCTTAATTTTGCGTGTGTGGCATAGTAGAAGGGATGCTGGACTAGGAGTTAAGAAACTTGACTCCCAGCCCTGGTTTTGCTGCTATTTCGCTATGTAACTCTGGGCACATCACTTAATTTTGCAGGGCATCAGATTTCCCATCAGAAAAATAAGGGTATCTGCTCAGATTACTTAGAAAATCCCTCTGTGTGTAAAGTTATGTGGTTGTTTTCTGAAAATGAAACTTTCTGAGTAAGTCTTTGACAATTTTGTTTTTTCCCTGGTTTGTGTCTTTATCCCACTAAAAAGAGAGGCACTCTGCTTTTTTAAAAAATGTCTAGAATGCTTCTTAGTAAATTTAAACCATTTATATATGTTTCCTTCTGCATTGGGCATGGATTCGGCTCCTCCCCTCTGCTCAGGGAGCGGCTGGCAGAAGAGAAGAGCCTGCCCCAGCGCCTGTGGGCGGGCGACTTTGGGAAGGCAGTTAACTGATTCTCAGTTTCTGTCTCCATAATATGGGAATAATCATTCCTACCACCTCCACTCCCGGTGGTTCTGAGTAGTAAATGAGATCAAGTGTGAGATGAGCAGGCAGGTCGCAGCCGTTTACCCGATATTCCTTCTCTCACCCTGCCTGCCATGTGGCTTTCCCCATTGGATGCTCCTGCTTTTTCTCAGCTTTAATAGAGAAGGTGCAAATTGGTCTCCGGGCACCCACTGCCCCACAGTATCTGGTGCTTAACAGACACTGAACAACGCACAAATAATGATTGAATAAATTAAATAAATCTTAAAAAAAAATCTTCAGTATACTCATGGGACGACATTTCAAGGAAGCCTCCTGTTGAACCCAGAAGAAACTATAAAAAGTAAAATGAAACATAAAATTAGCCATCTAAAGTGAGCAGTTCAGTGGCATATAATACATCTGCAGTTATACAATTACTATCTCTATCTGGGAGAAAGATATGGCAATCCACTCTAGTACTCTTGCTTGGAGAATTCCATGGATGGAGGAGCCTGGCGGGCTATAGTCCATGGGGTCGCAAACAGTTAGACACGACTGAGCGACTTCACTTTCTTTCTTTCTATAGTTTCTTTTGGAGAGGGAAATGGCAACCCACTCCAGTGTTCTTGCCTGGAGAATCCCACTGATGGAGGGGCCTGGTGGACTGCCATCTGTGGGGTTGCAAAGACTCGGACACGACTAAGCAACTAACACACACACACATCTCTACCTAATTCCAAAATAAACCCTGCATGCATTAAGCAGTTTCTCCCTTTTCCCCCTTCCTTCCAGTTCTTCCCTGACTATGACCAATCTGCATTCTGTATTGGCTTATTAGTCTGGATATTTCCTATAAATGGAATCATACAACATGTGACCTTTTGTGTCTAGCTTCCTGTATTTACGCTAATGTTTTAAGGATCATCCATGTTGTATAAATACCATGTTCCTTTTTATGGATGGCTTTATGCAATGGCTTTACTCCATTGCATGTATATATCACAATTTGTTTGTTCATTAGTCTGTTGATGGGCGTTTAGGATGTTTCTAGGGACTTCCCAGGTGGCTCAACAGGTAAAGAATCCACCTGCAATGCAGGAGATGCAGCAGCCGTGGTTTCAATCCCTGGTTTGGGAAGATCCCCTGGCAGCCCACTCCCATATTCTTGCCTGGAGAATTCTATTGACAGAGGAGACTGGCGGACTACAGTCCATACAGTTTCAGAGTCGGACACAGCTGAAGTCGCAGCAGGCACACACGCATGGGCGTGTGTGACTATGCCCATTAACTATCTGTGAATAATGTTGCTATGAACAGAAGTATACATGTATTTATTTGAGTACCTGTTTTCAGTTCTCTTGGCTATATACCCAGGAGTGGAATTGCTGGCTCACATGGTAGTTTTGTTTGACTTTTTGAAGGACTATAGGACTGTTCTCTACAGTAGCTGAGCCATTTTACATTCCCACTAGCAGTGTGCAAGGTTCCAGTTTCTCCTTATCCTCCTCAACACTTGTTTTTGTTTTTTTTTTTAGTAGAATCCTAATGGTTGTAGTGGTACCTCTTTGTGTTTTGATTTGAATTTCCCTAATGACTAATGATGTTGAGCATCTTTCATGTGCTTGTTGGGCATTGGTATATCATTTTTGGAGAAATCTCTATACAAGAACTTTGCTCATTTTAAATCAGGTTATTTCTATTTCTCTTGTTTAATTACAGGAGTTCATTAGATATTCTGCATACTAGACCCTTATCAGATATATGATGTTCACATATTTCTCCTGTGGGTTATCTTTTCATTTTCTTGACAATAGAATGGATGCACAGAAGTTTTTAATTTTGATGAAGTCCAATTTATCTATTTTTCCTTTTTTTCATACTTTTGGTGTTCTGAAGCTTTTTTTTATGACAGGGTCTTAATTAGTATTAAAGGAAAACTAGATCTTTTCCAGAAGGTAGCCTTTACTTTAAAATCCAGAGCCATGCAAATACAAATGTAACAGGTCCTTTATAATCAGTGGAAGAAGAGAAGGACCGGCAGCAGCCTCAAAGCACTCTTTAGATGAGCCACCAGGGGAGTCGCACTTTAAGTGAGTCTCACTTTAGTGCAAGGAGTCTCACTTCCCAGGTGGCGCTAGTAGTAAGGAACCTGCCTGCCAACGCAGGAGACACAGGTTGGACCCCTGGGTTGGGAAGATCCTCTGGAAAAGGAAATGGCTACCCACTCCAGTGTTCTTGCCTGGAGAATCCCATGGACAGAAGAGCCTGGTGGGCTACAGTCCATGGGGTCGCAAGAGTCAGGACTGAGTGATTTACATGCATGCATGTACCAAAGGAGTCTCACTTTAACGTAAATTAAACATCAGTGGCAAAATCATAAACATTTTAAAACTACCATAGATCAGAAAGTAGAGTGTCTTTGGATTATTCTTTTTATAATCAAGATCAGAAAAGCCTGATACAAAACTTGTGGAAATGCTTATATTTCTATATTTTTCTGTTTCTCTGCTAGTCAATTTTGATAGCTGTTGTGCTTCCTTTATAAATAAGGGAACTATTCCCAATTGTAATGACTGCTTTTCTCAAAGATTTTATGCCTGTAATTTACACAATACCACAAATCAGCCAAATAGCTCTTAACCTTATTCTTACTTCAGTGTATTATTTAGAAATTTTAGTTTAAAAAGCCACAGTTTATTTTCTGGCTCTTGGTTATTATCATAGGGTTTTGACAGTTTAAGCTGGTCTAGTAGCTTTACAAGTAGGATTTAGTTAAGTTCAGGAGAGAAAAAAGCCATTGCCTTCGCCTTCTCCCCTATACCCTGAATTAACTCCTGTTTCCTGGGTGCAGGTATGATTGAGTTTTTTTTTTTAACGTGAGGCATTTATATTTGGGGAGTAAAATATGCCCACTTCTCTGAGTTCTGAAGACAAACCAATCAAACCAAGCATGAGTAGTGAGTACTTACCTGCTATTATTCTAGTTAATAAAATAAACATGTCATAAAAGCATCTTCCTTGGGCTTTGTTCCTTTCCTTTGTTGTTTGATTGAAAAAGTCCTTTCTACCCCCAGTGAATAGTATGTTAAGCCCGGGAGACCAGAGATGGCTAAGGCAACACGCATGTCTGTGACTTCTAAAAATATGCATTATTAAGTGTGAGGCATCAAACTCCTTGAAAATGATCTTCTGTGGGCAGTGATTAAACTTTTCAGCTCGGACCCCTTTCATGCAGCGGGGCTGGCCCTTCTTATTCAGCTTCCTCGCTCTCCGTCTCCCCTTCTTCAAAATGAAACACAATATCCTGAGCCAACAGAGAGGCTTGTCATTGGCTCGCATTGTCCCTGATGCTGCAGCCCCGCCCCCTTGGCTGGCGCCGACACGCTGTTTATATTTTTCTAAGGGCCACCCTTTAACTGGGCGGCCTGATGGCTATAATGGGCCCGATTGTCTGTGGGCTGCGGAGCGCCGAGGCCCCACGTCCAGGGAGGCTGGGGCCCGTCTCTGATGCAGCGGAGAGGCGGATATGGAATACCGGTAAGGGCGCTTCTAAGGGCTCGGGGATGCTTTTTCTGGGCTCGCTGGTGGATCCTGGGCACTGTTTTGGAGAAACGAGTCGTGATCGAGTTGCTAGCTTTTTCCTGGTTTTAATTTTCTGCCTGCTCAAGACGGAAGGAACAGATTGGCTCTCTGGATTTGCTGACGAAGCTCATAGGGGTCCCTGTGGACCCAGGCAAGAACCGAGCAGGAAAGCAAAAATCCAGGGAGAGACGCACGCAAGCGGGTTTGACACCAAAGCCACATGGAAGAGGCAAAGCGCAGGGCTGCCTCGGTGATGCCATGAGACCCAAGGGCTGATTCCTCTTCTGATTTAGCTGTTCGCAGACAGAACTTAGCTCTGCCACTGTGGATTTCTGTAAGCCAGCTGTTGGCCAGTGTAACTCAGTCAGCCCCCTTTGAAAGCGTCTAGGATCTGCGGGGGTTTTCAAAGGGCAAACGTAGTAATCTTGTGTGCCATAAATGGTTCTATTCAGAAATCTGAGAACGGTTTAGAGCTGCAGGCTGTAAAGTTTTTACTGCCCCATTAAGGTGTTCAGAGGGTACTAAGGCCGGCTGCAGTGGGGCTCGGGAAGGAGGGGAAGCCTGGGGGCGATTCGAACATTTGTCCGTGACGAGCAAGAGAGAAACCCGGGGGGCCCGAGGACATCACGTGAGAGGCGGGAGTGAGCCCTGCAAGGGGCTGCGCCAGCCCTCCTGGGGTGCTGTCTGGTTTCCGCATGAATGAGGGAGGGCGGAGAACCGTTCAGGCATCCGCCTCTGGTCCCGGATTTCAGCATCATGGATGCCCCCGGCCCCCTTAGGCGGACTAAGGCACCTCGCCTGGGGCAGAGGGCCACTGGAGGCAAGCAGGGAGGAGGTGCGCAGTTACTGACTGTGCGCCGGGGCGAGGGGCTGGACTGTCTAAAGCCCTGGGAATTGCTTCAGGAATTCCCGCCTCCTGCTGAAAAGAAACTCACTATGGCAGCTTTGATGGGAGGCTTTTGTCTCTTTGCCTTTCACATGAGACTCACGGCGCAAAGTCAGTGAACCCAGGCTCTGCTTGATGTAGACAGGAGCCTGAAAAGGGGGAGGGGTATGGCTCAATTTTTAGATAAAACAAAGGGTGAATTATGGGGCTTTAATGCATCTAGTGCTTTATAAATCTCACCTAATCCTGGGCCTCAGTACTTATTATCCAGACACAGCATGTTTTTTTTTCATTTATTTTTATTAGTTGGAGGCTAATTACTTTACATCATTGCAGTGGTTTTTGTCATACATTGAAATGAATTAGCCATGGATTTACATGTATTCCCCATCCTGGTCCCCCCTCCCACCTCCCTCTCCACCCAATCCCTCTGGGTCTTCCCAGTGCACCAGGCCCGAGCACTTGTCTCATGCACCCAACCTGGGCTGCTGATCTGTTTCACCCTAGATAATATACATGTTTCGATGCTGTTCTCTTGAAACATCCCACCCTCGCCTTCTCCCAGAGTCCACAAGTCTGTTCTATACATCGGAGTCTCTTTTTCTGTTTTGCATATAGGGTTATCGTTACCATCTTTCTAAATTCCATATATATGTGTTAGTATGCTGTAATGGTCTTTATCTTTCTGGCTTACTTCGCTCTGTATAATGGGCTCCAGTTTCATCCATCTCATTAGAACTGATTCAAATGAATTCTTTTTAATGGCTGAGTAATATTCCATGGTGTATATGTACCACAGCTTCCTCATCTATTCGTCTGCTGATGGGCATCTAGGTTGCTTCCATGTCCTGGCTATTATAAACAGTGCTGCGATGAACATTGGGGTGCACGTGTCTCTTTCAGCTCTGGTTTCCTCGGTGTGTATACCCAGAAGTGGGATTGCTGGGTCATATGGCAGTTCTATTTCCAGCTTTTTAAGAAATCTGCACACTGTTTTCCATAGTGGCTGTACTAATTTGCATTCCCACCAACAATGTAAGAGGGTTCCCTTTTCTCCACACCCTCTCCAGCATTTATTGCTTGTAGACTTTTGGATGGCAGCCATCCTGACTGGTGTGTAATGGTACCTCATTGTGGTTTTGATTTGCATTTCTCTGATAATGAGTGATGTTGAGCATCTTTTCATGTGTTTGTTAGCCATCTGTATGTCTTCCTAGGAGAAATGTCTGTTTAGTTCTTTGGCCCATTTTTTGATTGGGTCATTTATTTTTCTGGAGTTGAGCTGGAGGAGTTGCTTCAGACACAGCATGTTTAAAGCCAACAGGATGTAGGGCTCCTGGAAGACTTAAATCAGATGCAAACTTTTTTTCTTTAATGAATTTGACCCAAAGCATCATGAGTGTTTCAGCACAGTGTATGAAGACACCTGGTGATTTCCAAATGCGCCAGGCTCTCCTTCAGTGGTCTGAGTGCCTGAGGAAGGGGGGTGAGTTGCCGAGGGGGTGCTTTTGTCCAGGAACAGAGCTTCTGGCCCTGCCAGTGCTGGCCCAGAGATGTGAGGCTAACAGGTGTGAATTGCCCTGTCCTTCTGCCTCAGGCCTCCCAAATCCTGGCTTCCTTCAGGTCCTCCTATTCTCCTGTTTCTACCCCACAAGCACCCCCAGGGGATGGTGAGAGAGGAAGAACCAGGAGGAGGTGGTGAGAGCCGGGGGTGAATTCTAGGAGATCCCACGTAAACAAAGGCAGCTCCTGCCTGCCTTCTTTTATCAGAATGCTGGGCACGCCAGGCTCCAGAAATTTCAGACACAGCATCATTTTTAGGTACAGAATTTATACTCATGATAAGAGTAGAAGATTTACAATATAAAGTAGTGTTCCTCTGTTGTTGTGTTAGTTGCTCAGTCATGTTTGACTCTTTGCAACCTCACAGACTGTAGCCCACTAGGCTCCTCTGTTCCTGGAATTCTCCAGGCAAGAATACTGGAGTGGGTAGCCGTTCCCTTCTCCAGGGGATCTTGCCGACCCAGGGATCAAACCTGAGTCTCCTGCATTGCAGGCAGATTCTTTATCATCCGAGCCATCAGGAAGCCTTCTAGAGCTTGTCAATAGTGAGGGCTGTTACGAAACCAAAGAAACAAGCTTGTATGGATGAATACTATAATGATGACAAAGTCCAACAGAAATAGTACGTATCGTTTATTGAGCACTTACTATGTGCCAGGCCTTTTCACTTATTATCTCACTCAGTCCTCCCTAATCCCTCTGACGTACAGTTCTCATTTTACAAAGAAAGAAACTGGGGCACAGAGAGGTTAAGTAACTGGCCCAAAGTCACACAGCCTATTAGTGACCTGAAACGTGACTCATTCGGAAAGTATACAGCACATCACCTGTGTTAGGAAGTGAGGGGTTTCTGTGGAGTCGAGTTGGCATTCATAGTCACAGTTTTTCAAGAATCCATCACCACAACCAAAATGTGACCTCCTGTGGTAACGTAATTGGTGGCTGGGAAAGAAAGCCAAGAACCACTTCCTTTAAATGAACGAGAGCGCCAAAGAACAGCAGCCTTGTCCAGCGAGCCAAGGGCCAGGGAGGGCCAGCTGAGGGGCTGGGGGTGGGCCTGGCCCTGCCACACCACGGTGGGCCTGTGCTGTGTGGTACTGGACCCTGGGAGGGATGACATGAGCAGAGAAACGAAAGAGCACGGGGTAAAAGGAAGCCGCTGATTCAGACACTGCTGGTTCCAGCCGGTGACAGACACATGTGCGAGGCCCAGTGGAGGTTGGAAGCACCCTTAGCCAGACTGGGGACATCGGTGAAGGCTTTGTAGAGAGAGAGGGATTCTAGAAGGAAGTCTTGAAGAATGAGAAGAATAGGTCAAGACGACATGGAGGGAAGGGTGCTTAGGGCTAGCAGTTTCTGACGTGGTCGGTCAGTGGTGGGTCTTGTGGGCAGCTGTGTACCAGGGTTGGAAAAACTGAGTCAAAGGGATCCACATGTGCAAAGGCCCAGAGTCAGAGAACAACTAAACAGCTTGCTTAGTCTGGTTGAAACGTGGCATGTGAGTGAACAAGCAATCCTGGATGAGACAAAGCTGATAGAAAATGAAGCCAAAGAGAATTGTTCCATAAGTATCAAGATCTTGACAACTGTTTTATCAGAGTGATGGATGTGTAGGGATCCATCATCTACTTCTGTGTTTGTTTAAATTTTTATTAATAACTTTTGTAAACAGGAGGATAGCCCATAGATGCATCAAGACCAGAACATAGCTCAAACAGAGCAGAACTGGAACCAGGTCTCCCGGTGTGCAGTGGCTACTGGAGACCTTGCCAAGTCATTGGACCTCTCTAGTTCTCCTTCTGCTCATCTGAAAATGGGAGTAATAACGGCCACCTCACGGGGCTGTTGTGGGGATTGAAAAGATAGACCATACAGACATCCCTCCATAGAATGGCATGGAATCATCCCTTTTCCCTCTCATCCATTATGACTGAGGTTTCTAGATGATGCTGTGAAAAGTGAAAGTGAAAGTGAAGTCGCTCAGTCGTCTCCGACTCTTTGGGACCCCATGGACTGTAGCCCACCAGGCTCCTCTGCCCATGGGATTCTCCAGGGATGAGCACTGGAGTGGGGTGCCACTGTAGAGAGTTCCAAATAGAGAACCTCAAAATAGTCTGTAAGGTACAGAAGCAAGAACATGCGAGGCAAGGTCCGAGCTGGAAGCAAGTCTGGGGCTAGGTGAGTGGCCTGAGAAACATCCACACCACAGACTGACACGTGTGAGTTTAGAAAAGTTAGCCCTGCAGGTGGCTAAAGAAACCCCATGACCTTGGCTCTCCAAGGCCTCGCTACCTAAAGCACAGAGCCCCAATTTGATTTGCATTTATAATCCCTTGCATTTCATGTATTTTCTGTCTACTTAAATTTTTAAGTGAGATACCACTCCCTCCATCACTCACACTTAATGAGCATGTGGTTTGGTCATCTTCCCTTGTAGCTCAGTCAGTAAAGAATCTGCCTGCAGTGCAGGAGACCTGGGTTCGATCCCTGGGTTGGGAAGATCCCC